TTTTTTAACAAATCATTTTACGGGGGGGCTCTTACAGCTCTTATAACAATCCATACAGCAATTGTATCTAGCACATTTGTCCATATGTTGCCATCACCATTTTCCTTTAAAAATATATATATATTGAGGGCTTGTACAGCTCTTATCACAATCCATATATCCGTCCATTTTGTCAAGCACATTTGTGCATATGTTGCCATGATCATTTTCTTCTCAAAACATTTTCTTTCCACTTGAGCCCTTGGTACCAGTTCTTCATTTTTCTCTCCCTCCTCCACCCTCCTGACCCTTTGATAAATTATAAATTATTATTATTTAATATCTTATGCCATCTGCTGTCTCTGGTCACCCTCAGTGGAGGTGGGGGTGGGGAGGTTATACATTTATCATTGTGATCGGTTCCCCCTTTCTCCTCCTTTTCACCCCACTTTCCCCTTCCCCTCATGGTATCCTACACCCATTATTGTTCTTGAGGGGTTTATCTGTCCTGGATTCTGTGTGTCAGGAACTCTTATCTGTACCAGTGTACATGCTTTGGTCTAGCCAATTTGTAAGGTAGAACTGGGGTCATGATAGTGTGTGTGTGTGTGTGTGTGTGTGTGTGTGTGTGTGTGTGCAGGGGGATTAAAAAACTATAGGAATGTTGTGTGTTTCATTGATTCTATACCGCACCCTGGCTGGCTCATCCCTTCCAAACAAACAATCATTGATGTGAACAAGGGGGATCAGAGTGGAGGCCTAAAGCCCATCTATAGAAAATTGGACATCTCCTCACAGAAGGCAGCCCTTTCTATCCTTGTCTCTTTCCTCCGCCTCCAGTGGAGTCATAAAGAAGAATCGATGTTGCACATGGTCCCTGTTGACTCCACAGGCCCACCATACCAGCAATAGACTGGTTTACATTTAGTTTTCTGAAGTATAGATGTAGGCAAAATTAGAAAAAAGAAAGGACTTTGACGAGAAGGCAGGGAGAACGGAGAGATACCTCTCTTCCAAATCAAGGGGGTGAGGGTGACAGTAAGAAATAAATGGCACTCTGTGGCTAGATCTGGAGGTGGCGAAAGGCAACAAGGTATGCTGGCTTCATAAACCCCCAAACCAAAGTCATTGCCCTACTCATAGTGACGCTAAAGGATGTAGAACTGTCCGCTGGGGTCCAAGGCGGTACATCTTTATGGGTGCAGACCACCTCATCTTTCTCCTTTGGTTTCGCTGAGGATTACCAACAGCCGACCTTGCAGTCCACAGCCCAGCACAGAACCCACTCCACCACCAAGGCTCCTGGTTGGCCTGGTGACTCATTTCTACTTTCTCTAGGCTTGCTGTGAGTCAGAACAGATTCAGCTGCATTTAACAACTCTGGTTGGGGTCAGGGGGAGGGGGGCGTAGGGGGTTCACTTGAAAATGAGGAAAGGGGATTGTAGGGGGATAATAAGGGTGAAAATGGAGAACTTGATGATTAAAGTAAATGACTAGAACAGTAAAAGTACTAGAACAGCCACAATCAGGAATGCCACAGGAACAAAAAAGGACTGAAAAGCTGGCCCCTTTAACTATATAAATGTGGAAAATGTTGCCCCTGCCATTCCAACCTCTCTACCTTACCATTACAGACTACATACTGATTTAAAAAATTACTTTTAAAGACGTTTCCTTTGCACAATAGCCCAATTCTGGATAATGCAATGTGGTATATTACTAATTTATAAGCTATTTGATCCGTGTTAATATGTACTTCAAATGCAGTACTACAAAGGTTGTTTTTGTAGTAAAAAGGTATGCTGGGTTTTATTAAGACCTTCTATTCACAGAAGTGTCAAAAGTACCCTTATATGACTATGTGGCATTAGTACAACAGAACACACACTTCAATCACATAGGGTCCAGAGCCAAGAAAAAAACCCAACTCTATGTGTAGCTATAAGCCTATATTATTATTATTATAAAAACAGAAACACAAACACATTATTACTGGGAGGCCTATTTCAATTCATAGCAACCCTAAGAACAGAGTCAACCTGTCCTTTAGGATTTCCTAAGCTGTGGCACAGTGATTGAGCACTTGGCTCCTGAGAGGTCAGTGATTTGAATCCACCCACTGCTCTGCAGGAGAAAAATGTGGCAGTCTGAATTCATACAAATGCACCGCCGCTGAAACCTTACTGTTAGTTCTACTCTATCCTACAGGGTGGCTATGAACTGGAACCAACTCAACAATTAGGGAAGCAAATTGCTACATCTTTCTCCGGTGAAGCAGCTGGTGAGTTTGAACTGCTGGCCTTTGAGTTACCAGGAGAGTACTTAAGCTCAATGTCACCAGGGTTCCTATTATTATTATTAAATTATAACAAATCAAAAGCCTCATCACTATCTGCAGACCTGCAGCCATAAGTTAAAAACAACAACAAAACAACCCTCACTGCTAGCAAGTTGGCACAGTGACCCTATAGGACAGAATAGAAATGCCCCATGTTGGTTTTTGAGACTGTAAATATTTATGAGTAGAAAATCTCATCATTCTCCTGGCAGCTATAAGTATCCAGGGTTAATTGTGACCTTTATATTATTTGAATATTTAAATTTTTTTGGTATCAATTAGGTCTATCCTTTTTTTTGAGATTAATTTGTATTTTCTGTGAACAATTTTCTTTATTTAAAAAAAACTTTTATTGGGGGCTCTTATATCTCTTATCACAATCCATACATTCATCCAGTATGTCAAGCATATTTGCACATAGGCTGCCATCATCATTTTCAAAGCATTCTCTTTTCACTTGAACCCCTGATATCAGCTCCCCATTTCTTCCCCCTTCCTCCTCTGCCCACCCTCCTTCACAAACCCTTGATAAGTTATAGATTATTATTATCATATCTTACATTGTCCTCCATCACCCTGTACCCCCTTTTCCATTGTTCGTCCCCCTGAGAGGGGGTTATAGGTTGGTCCTTGTGATTGATTTCCCCTTTCTCCCTCCACCCTCCCCTAATCTTCTTGATAGGGCTATCCTTAAATGACACACATCTTTAGAACTTAGAAGAAAACTTTTCATAATATTTGCTCTTTTAAAATATCAGGTACTGTTGAATTTATTGCATGGTCAATCTGTGCCATCATCCAGTCTTCTGCTTTTAGTGGTACTTAACATCTTGTTAGCAAATTTATAGCATTTTGATATTTGCAAAATTTCCAACCTACTCATGGGAAAGGAAGGCAAGTCTTTTCCTTTAATGTAGGAAAGGCTTTCTTTCTTTCTTTCTTTCTTTCTTTCCATTTGGTTGGTTTAAGGGGAGGCCCAAACAGAGCATTTCAGAAAAAAATCACTCCTGTCAACCTGGACTCTATGAAAAGACTCAGATACTTTGTTGACTCTAAACCGGAGGGCTATTTGAGGTTGAGATATTTGAAATATTAAAGGGAAAACATAGAGTGAGTTTTAAGCTTCTACGATTTCTGTGGAAAGCTCCATTCATAGTCTTTGGTATGCAATACAGAGTCACTTACAACCATGGTTAAAAGGGGCAAGGGGGTGAGTTGGAGAGTTCCACTTGGAATTGAAACACATGGCTTTCATGCTTGGGCCTGCTGCTTATGACGTTGAACAAATTGCCATTCTCAGTCTTGATTTTTTTTTATGCATGAAACAAAGATCATAAAAACCTGGCCCTGCCCCAATATAAATTTTCTTGAAAATTAAGCTCTATGATTATGCCTGTAAAAGTGCCTTGGCTCTTTGAATGTCTGACACAAATGCTAGGCAGTGTAGCTCTTACAGGCAATCCTCTAGAAATCTCTCTTAGGTGATGCTTTGATAGGCTGATTTGAATAATTATGTGTCTGAAAGTAGTAAAGCTAATGTTGATTGGTGGGAATTAGACAGTCTGGGTTTCTCTCAACAACTTGAAGCTTACAGGATAGTATAGGCAATGCTTAGATGAAAAGATGTTTCTATACATGTGGTCTTAGGCAAGTCACATTACCTCAGTTTCCACATAATAAAATCAGGATAATAATAATGCTTGTGGGGACTAAGGGAGATTATAACATGCAAAGTGGCAGATTATAAGTCATCAGCAAATTTCTGTTGTGGTGGGGAGGATGGCAAGTAGTTTCTTGACCTGCACAGCCTGTTTGTGTGCAGCTCTTACCTCCTCCCAAGTCTTGAGAGTATGTGCTCACAGCATGTAAGCGGGCCAGTGTTGTTCAAGGATCAACAGTAGATTGAAATTCAAAGTTTTCATTGTTGTTGTTGAATCTGTTCCAACTCATAGTGAGTCTATATACAGCAGACTGAAACATTGCTCTGTTCTGCACCATTGTCACAATTGTTCTTATGCTTGAGCCCTTGTTGCGGCCACTGTGTCAATCCATGTAATGACAATCTTCTTTTTCTGCTACCCCTCTACCCTGCCTAGTATGACAGTGGTGGACACTGTGCCAGGACTAGTCTCTCCTGATTACATGTCCAAAGCATGTGAGACAAAGTCTTGCCATCTTACTTATAAGAAATATTATGGCTGTACTTCATCCAACACAGATTTGTTTGTTCTTTTGGCAGTTCTTTCAGTATTGTTAGTGAATTGTGTTGGGCTGCTAACCCTAAGGTCAGCGGTTCATGTCCATCATCTGCTTCATGGGAGAAAGGTGAGGCTTTCTGTTCCTGTAAATTTTCCATTAGATTATACTAAATTTATTTCCCTCCAAATTTGGGGAGTTTTATTTTACTTTAAGAAAAATTTAAAAATTAAACTGTGTCTATCATTATACAGTATGTAGCTTCTGGAAATATCAGCATTTACCAGTTGCAGTGAAATCTTCTTTCTCTCATTTAAGTGGCTGGTCATATTTAACGTTTTGTGGGGGGAAAAAGTTTCTAGTTCAAAGAAAAATTCAACAGTTTTATAGAACATGAAATGAAATTAAGTGAATTACAATAAACTTCCACTGACTAGTGCTTAATCTCTTTTTACTTTGTGTTTTTCCCCTTTTTCATTCTTCTTAGTCCACACCTGAAGTTTAATAATCTCACCCTGATTTCAACCCATGGACTTCCTGGAAAGAACCTTCTGGCCACTCACCAAAGAAGATTTTTAGCAAGCGAGTATGAATCCTGTTTGCTTTTTCATTCTGAGGCCGAAATGTCCTAGTTTGTGTGAAGTTGTTTTTAAGCTAAATATGAGGGGGCTTTAAAATATTCATGGAAAAGGAATGAAAAGACAATTTAATATTGGAAAAAGGAAAGACAGTGAGCTTTGCTGCTAGTTCAGGATCTTTGTAAAGGATTAGCTTTTGTTTCTTTGATTGTAAAATGTGTGTGATAAGCCATTCTTGCTGAGCGTTTTGTTGTTGCCATGACAGTTAGTTCTGGCCACCAGAAAAAAAATGGTGCCCTAGCCAGCTGTACCACAGAAACCCTCTACAACAAAAACGGGAGAAAATCAAGATGGAGGAAAAACCTGGATCTGAATCTCGGGGAAGAAGAGGAAAGCTAGTGAACCAAATTCCTGTTTGCTTCCTATTTACAAAGTAAATGCAACCAAGGCATTCCTGGGGCTAAGAGCCCAGGCAGGGGAAGGGCAGCATCACAGCACACCTTGAGACTCCTATAGTGGGGGCTGGGCCATCCAGACTAGGCTTGGACTTTCTTTTTTCTTTGTTTTCCAAACAGAAAATCCACGGCAAAGGTGACACCCTAGGAAGTAGCACTTGGGTGTGGGCACTCACCTCCACTTTCTGCTAACTATGGCAGAAGGGAACATCTATAGGCTACTAGAATCAAGTGCAGTTTAAAAACAAAACAGCAGCGTTTGAGGATTGGGGCTTAAAAAAAAACAACCCACCACAGCAGAGCAATACTGGACAGGCAGGGCCCACATATTGTGTGCTCTGAGGCTGCAGTGTCTGCTGAAAAGACCCAGGCTAGGCCAATGGAGGTTGGCAATACCCTGAGGTTACCAGGGCTGGCTTGGGAATATTTTTCTTTCTGTCTTTCTTTTTCTATTCTTCTTTTGTCTCTACCTTTTGTTTTCAGTTCATGCCTTCAGCCTGGAGCCATTCTTTCCTCTCTTTCTCTCTCACTCTGTTTGTTTTGTGTCATTCCTGTCTTGCTCCACCTGATGGAGACAACTAGTCCCATGTGACCCAACTACCCTTGCATTGCCAACAGTTGAATCTAGGCTACAAGGTCCTCCACCCACTCCAGTACCAACTGATCAACAACCAAACATAAATGTAAAAGCACCACAGTGTTTCAGAGACAGATAATTGCAGTTCGTATGCGGAAAAAAGGCAGGATGGCACAGAGAAGTGATCAATGTACAGAGCCAAAGACTTCTCTGAAGATTCTAAGGCATTGAAACAACTGGAAATGGAAATCTGAAGAATAATTTTTAGGTATGTTCAACAGATGGGAAAAAAGATCACAATAGTGATGGGGGAAAGGGAAACAACTATAGAAGAATTCAGGAAAACTGTATAAGAGAATCTGACTAAATAAATGAAACATTGAAAAGCATACAAAAACACCAAATAGAAATCTAGATGACACATACTAAGATAATAGAAATAAATAATATATTGAGAAGGAATAAATTAGAATTAAACAATGAAAAGCTAAATTAGTGAACTTGATGAAAATTCTCCGAATACCAAACTATGAGAAGAATCATCTGTAAAAATATCAAGAAGAAATCTGAGAAGAGCCTTAGAATTATGTGATACACTATACAGAGGAATGACATACACATGATAAAATTTTCAGAACAGGAAGAAACAAACCAACCACAGAGAACATTGTCCAGTGACTGTTAGAAGAAAACTTCCCTCCATCATGCCAAAGAAGACATAATAATTAAGAATCTTTTTTTTGTATAAGGGAGAGTTTTATATAGAGGGTAAGTGCACATGAAGAAAACATCCCAACCCAGTGCTGCCCAAGCCCACAAGCCCAATATTAACGCATATGCCTGACACCAATCCACAAAGTCCTCCTCCATCTTACAAAGCACATGCAATGATGTCGACTGCAGGAGGAAAGCTGAGTCAGTGAATGTGTAAGCATCTCAGCACTGGCAGGGGTCTCCACATGGTTGCTCCAGTACCCAGGGCTGCATCAGGGTAGGTCCATGCAGCTTTTCCTTGGGAGTGTTTTGCAGGAAATGAGCCTTGCCAGCTGAAGCAGGGAACTGGCTAAGGAATTAAGAATCTTATATAGCCCTTCTCAGGGTAGACCCAAAAGGACAATCACCACAGCATATCATAAATAAGCTTTCCAAAATTAAAAATAAGGAAAGAATGCTGAGAGCAGATCAGAAAAAGTTTACCTACAAAAGAGAAACAATAAACAATAAGCTAAGATAAAAAATATCAGGAGAAATCATGTAGGAAAGAAGGCAATAGATAAATTGCCAACCAAGAATTTTATGTCCAGCAAAATTTCCCACAAAATATGAGGAGACATGAAGTAATTTCTAAATAGAGGGAAATTAAAGGCATATATAAAAGCAAGACCAGTTTTACAAACAAAATTTTAAAAAACTAAGAAAAATTCTTCAGATTTAATCAACGACAGTAGACATCAATCTGAGATCAACACACAAGACAGCACCATTCCATAGTTAATCAAATCATATTAATAAAGAAAGTAAAGTAAATTAGTGAGAAGAAAATAGGGAACCTGAGATATCAATCTGACATGAAGAAAATTAAGAAGCAAAAAGAGGTAAGCAGTTAAAACAAAACATTTAAATGGAGAGGAAGTAGATTTCAAGAGAGACTAGATTGTGTTAAAGTTGGAAATATATTAATAAATATCAATGTAATCTCAAAGAAAATGGCTAGAGTTTATCAAGATAAAAGTGAAAAAAATCTTGAAGACCAAGTAACAAAGAACAAAGAAAACAACACCACACACACACACACACCAGAACAGAACAAAATTGCAGCAATAAATGCATACCAATCAATAATAACACTAAAGAGACAGAGAGTAGAAGAATTATACAAAAACAGACTCATTGATATGCTGCTTACAAGAAACACACGTTAGATACAAAGACAAAAGCAGACTAAAAAACCAAAGGATAGAAAAATATATCAAGTTAATGGAAATTTTTAAAAAGTAGGAGTGGTATCTTAAGCTCCAATAAAATAGATTCCAAAGCCAAATCCACCATGAGCCACAAAGAAGAGCATTACATAATAGTTAAAGGAACAATTGAACAAGACGACAGGCATAATAAATATTTATGTACCCAAAGAGAGACCATCACAATACAGTATTCAAACCTCTATAAATGTAAAAAGAAACATAGACAGCACTACAATAATAGGACTTTATCACACCACTCTCCAGGAAGGTCAGAACAACTTCAAAGAAACTCAACATAGACACAGAACAACACAATTAATCAACTTGACCTCTGAGGCATATAAAGAACTGTATGTCCCACAACAAAACCGTGTATATTCTTCCAAAGATCACATGGAACATTCCCCAGAGTAGACCATTGGTTAGGTCACAACGTAAGCCTTAATACTTATTAAAACATTGAAAAAATGCAAAACATCTTCTCAGATCACAATACTATAAAATTAGAAATAGGCAATAGGAATATAAAGGATGGAAATCAAATAGATGATATTGAATAGCACCCTGCTTATAAAACACTGGGTAATTGAAGATATAAAAAATAAAATAAGGGACAAGGGGCATCTTGAAACAAGTAAGAATGAAAATACAACATAACAAAACATATGGGACTGAGCTAAAGCAAAATTTATAGCAATAAATGCAAAAATCAAAATATAAGAGCCATAATAAACATCTTAGAACAACATCTCCAACAAATAACAGAACAAGAACAGGCAAGTAAACTCACAGCCACCGGAAAAAAAGAAATAATAAATATTAAAGCTGACGGAAATAAATTCCAAACAGAAAAAAACCCCATAGAATTGACTAGACAAAAATTGATTTTTGAAAGACTTAAAGTTGACAAATTAGTGGCAAATCTAAAAAAGGTAAAGAAAATTAAAATAACATAACTAATGTAATGGGTGACATCACAACAGAGCCAAATGAAAGAAAAAAGATAATCACACAATATTATGAAATACTGCATTCCCAATAAATTTGAAATCTATAAGAAATTGATATATTTCTTAAAACCTGCCTGAGTTAATGTTTATTGTGCCAACCTGGCCGATAAACACATGTGGAGTTAATTGAAGGGCGGAGGGATAAATGGCTCAGTGAGCCTCGCCTTTCTAGTTCTGAGGTCTCTTGCTTTCTGATGGTCTGACCAGAGTGCCGCTCCCTTAGCCAGTTCCCTCCCAGCTGGCAAGGCTGACTTCCTGCCAGACATCCCCCAGGAGAAGCCGCATGGACCTACCCGGATGCAGCCCTTAGTGCTAGAGCAGCCATGTAAGCACTGAGATGCTTACACTTCACTGACTCGGCTTTCCTCCTGCAGTCAGCATCATTGCGTGTGTTTTGTGAGATGGAGGAGGACTTTGTGGATTGGTGCCGGACATATGGGTTAATGTTGGACTTATGGGCTTGGGCATCACTGGGTTGGGAAGTTTTCTTGATGTGCACTTACCCTTTATCTAAAACTCTCTTATACATATCAGTTTCTGTGGATTTGTTTCTCTAATGTACCCAGACTAACACACTGCCTAAGCTAACAGGGTCAAAAGTAGATATTTTTGAATAGACTCATACCAAAACAAAAAATCCATCAGGTCTTTTTTTAAATTCCAAGCAAAAAAGTTCAGGATGAGATGATTTCACCAAGGAATTCAACAAAACATTCTATAGAGAAAAGTTAACATCACGTCTACACAAACTATTCCAAACATAGAAAAGGATGGCGAACTCCCACATTTCTTTCATGAAGGAAGCATAACTTTGCTACCAGAATATAAAATTACAGACCAATATCCCTTAAGAACATAAATGCAACTTTTTCAACAAAATCCTAGCTAATAGAATCCAACAAATTTTTTAAAAATTATGATCCAGTGGGATCCATGCCAGGTATGCAATGAAGATTAGCATTAGAAAAACAGTCAATGTAATCCACCATATATAAATAAGAG